GTGAAGGTTGATCTGATGCGCCGCGTACCGAACCGCAAACGGCCATAGAAAATGGGGGGAAGCCGCATGCATCATGGACGTACGGGCGACGTCCATGACCATGCCAATGCGGCGCTCAGCAATCCCATTTTGCTGTGGAGAGTCCGGAAGCGTGAAGGTCTGGCGGATGCCTCGTGCACGACAGTAGGCTCGCAGAAGGCCAGAGGAGAACTCTCCACCTCTGTCAGAGTGCAGACGCAGAACAGGAAAGTCCGAGCCGAAGCTCTGCCTGAGCTGGAGACGAGCTGCGCGGATCCAGTCGATCAACACCTCAGTGACATCACCCTTGCTGCGCAAGGGGAAGACCGTGGTGTAACGCGAGTAGTCGTCAACCACCAGTAGGAAGTAGCGCTCGTGACCCTGTCCACGGACGCGGGCCGGGCCCCACACGTCCATGTGAAGCGTCTGCAGCGGGGCCTCTGTCGGAGGAAACTGGGAGGAGTGAGGGGCAGCCCGCTGCCGCCCCTCGACACAAGGGACGCAGGTAGGGCCGGGCCCCGGAGGAAGGGGAGGGAGGGACCGGGGAAGACCAGAGACAAGGACACGGGAGGCCATGCCTCGGAGACGAAGCAGGGAGGGGTGACCAAGGCGGTGGTGCCAGAGGAGAGTCTCGTGCGACAGGAGGCAACACGAACAGGGGGCAGACTCAGGACCAGACCTGGACACTGCAGCAAACACCTGACCCGACGCAGCTACCTGACCAGACACAGTGACTGGAGGAGACGCAGTGGTCAGTGTGTACAGGCTCGACCCCGGCCGACGTGTAAACGTGGCCAGGTGTCGGCCTGTCCGAGCGTCCGTGCAGTGGGTCACCCGCTGACTCGCAGGAGTGAACTGGTGAACCCCCGCATCCTGTAGGTCAGCACCACTCACCAAGTTCGTAGAGAACGAGGGGAGGTAAAGACCAGACAGGGTGCCAGAGGGGGCCGCCGGACACGGGAGGACAGTGGAGAAGTGAGCAAGGACAGGACCCCCAGAGGGGTCTGCCAGAGAGACTGCAACTGGCCGGCCAAGCGGCGTGAGTGTGGTGCGGTCTCGAAAGAAGGAGCGAGAAGCCCCCGAGTCAAGGGTGAAGGTGTGGGAGGCCGATGCCGACGCAGTACCTGAGAGAGCAGACTCACCAGCACCTGAGTGAGCAGACGCACGAGCACCTAGAGCAGCAGCCTCGCTAGCACCTAGAGCAGCAGCCTCACCAGTACCTAGAGTAGCAGTCTCAATGCCCGGGTCGGGCGGAAAACACCGGTAACAGTCACCCTCATCACTAATAGTCACAGCATACATGGCAGCAAGAATAGCATCAAAGTCAAGGTCAAAGACAGCTACACCCGCCCTAGACAGCTCGCCCCAGCGGGGGATCTCAGTGGCCTCAGGGAACTGGTGACACCAAGCGTCCGTCAGGCGGCCAAAGCAGCGCGTGGTGGAGTGCGCACCCCCGCACGGCTCACCCGCGCGGTCGCCGGTGCGTAGGACGTAGGTGCACGGACCAGTACCCCCACCCCGCTGGCGTGCAGCGTACCACTCACGGAGCTGCTGAGGGGGGGGGATGTCACGAGTGCGCTGCTGCCGCTGCTGCTGCTGCTGCTGCTGCTGGCGCTGACCACCACCGGAGCCGACCCTCTGCCCAGCGCCACCCCGACCAGCTCCACCTCCTCCGCCGCCGCCTCCTCCACCGCCGCCACCTCCGCCACCTCCGCTCCCACCGCCACCGCCGCCGCCGCCTCCGCCTCCACTGCCGCCACCGACACCTCCACCCCCGCCACCACTCCCACCACCACCCCCACCCCCTCCACTGCCGCCACCGCCACCTCCGCCACCCCCGCCAGCCCCTCCAACACCCTTGCCCCCCTTGCCCTTGCCGGTGCGGCGTCTCCCGCTCGGGGCAGACGCAGCGCCGACCGACTCGAGACCAACGAGGTCGGCCGCAGCAGCAGAGGCAACAGAGGGCAAAAGGGGGGAGGGGGAACACCCCTCAAAGACGGGGGTGCGAGGGTCACCACGAGAGGCTCCTACAGCGACTATGCTCTTCTCTGCTGCTAGGAGGGCCTTCTCGAGGAGGTCAACGGTGAGAGTGGTGGGGCAAACTGAGAGGAAGTGGTCCCTGACTACGCGAAGGGAGTCAGGGAGCCGGGTGACTATGTAGTAGAGGGTGATGTACATGGGGGGGGGGTTCTTGGCGCAGAACTCAGCAGGAAGCGCAGCGCGGTAGCGAGTGTCACTAGTGCGGAGGTGCGTAATGAGGTCAGCGACTGTGGGAAAGGCAGCAAGGTCAGGGAAGAGGTACGCTAGCATGAGGCGGCTCAGTGCAGCAGTGGCAGGGGAGGAGTAGCGCGCAACTACAGCGTCGTACAAGGTGTGAGCACTCTTGTACTGGCTAAAGTGCGCACGCTCAGAGGTAGGCAGGTGGCGACGCATAGCTAGACGTGCAGCAGCATCGCGTGTGGCCCACTGTGAGCGAACAGTGGCGTCGACATCAGCAGCAGGGGCAGGAGAGGCACTAGAGGTGAGGTCAAAGAGGGAGAGACCGTCTGCCCTATCACACTGTAAGAAAAGCTGCAGGTCATCTACCCAGACGTCAAAGTCAATGGCCCGACCCTCAGCGTCAAAGGCGAGGACACTAGGGGTAGCCATGACAGCAGTAGACTAGCAGTGCGAACAGTAGGGTAAGGGCAGTGCAGTGATAGAGGCGCTGCTCTTACCGGACAGGGCGGCTCGGACGGCTCGGCGGCTCGGCGGCTCGGCAGGACGGCGGGTCGGCGACACGGCGGCTCGGGCGGCTCGGCGGCTCGGGCGGCTCGGGCGACTCGGAGGCTCGGGCGGCTCGGGCGGCTTGGCAACTCGGCGGCCCGGGCGGTTCGGCGGTCGGCTGCTGGGCGGCTCGGCGGCTCGGCGGCTCGGCTGCTCGGCTGCAGGGCGGCTCGGCGGCTCGGGTGCTCGGCTGCTGGGCGGCTCGGCGGCTGGTGTGGTTGGTGACGACCGCGGCAGCAGTCGCAGAAGCTGTGGCGACTGCTGCTGCAGAGACGGCTGCGGCTGCTGCCTCAGGGACGGCGGCTGCCGGCCGCTAGGGGCCGCGAAGAGCGGCAGAGAGGCCGTGAAGGGCGCCACGAGGGGCCGTCGAGGGCGGCGACAGGCCGTGAGGAGGCCGCGGAAGGCGGCTCGAGGGGCCGCGAGGGGGGCCGTAAGGGGCCGACTGGCGACGGGAGGGGCCGAAGGGGCCGCGGGGGGGGCCCGTAAGGGTAGCGCGAGGGGCCGTAAGGGCGGCGCAAGGGGCCGTGAGGGCGGCGCGACGGGCGCGACGGGCCGTAAGGGCGGCACGAGGGGCCGTGAGGCCGGCGCGACGGGCCGTAGGGGCGGCGCGACGGGCCGTAAGGGCGGCGCTAGGGAGCCGTGAGAGGGTCGCTAAGGGCGACGCGACGGGCCGTGAGGGGCCTAGCGAGGGCGCGACGGTAGGGAGAGCACACAGGGCGCGACTCGGGCCGGAGCGAAGCGCGCTCCGGGCAGGAAAAAAAATTTCGTGGTGGTGGGCCCTAGGAATCGTTCCCACTAGGGAACCTGCTCGATACCATGAGAAGAAACGAGGAATGAAAATGACTAAGGGAAAGTTGGGTACAAATGTAAACCCTAGAAAACTGTACCCCATATGTGCTACCCCACTATAGCCTACAGTAGCTATGTCATATAAATCTGACAGTTTGGTCAATCGGTTGCGAAACGACGAGAGTAGGATCAGACCACTTAATGTGACAATATCGTTTCGCCGCCATTGTCTAGTTTAGATTTGCAATGTACACCCTACAGTCACCATATTTGTATCTATCCGTGACTAAACTGGAACTGGGAATTTCCTTTTCTCCTTGTCGTTGTCGCCATTGTCGAAATGTTTCAGCACATAAATGTGATATAACGTCACAAAATTTCCTTCTAAACTACATTATTGCTTTCTTTATTTGTTTGAGAAAGTGACTGCTTAATTAAGTCTTGTGCCAGGAAAGAATAAATTGTTGAAACCTTTTTACACTGGTTGTTGTTTTTGCTGGTGTGCTACAAGCATGCCGAGGTTGCGTGGGGTTGCGTGCGGTTGCATGGTTTGATGGTTTGTTTGTACTCTACCAAAAGGTTGATGGAGCGCGTCGGTTCGGCTTGTCGTCGTGGGAATGTAGAAGGTATGGGAGGGAACGCTGCTGTCGGCTACTCAATCCACATTTTGGAAATCTGTTTGTTTCAAAAGTTTGATTCCTTGTGGAGAAACTTTTGAGGGCGTGGTAGTCGAGTACCCCACCACTGTAGTGTATCTCCGCCGAAGTCAAGAGCTAGTTTCAGATCATTCAGGCAGATTGACCGAGCATTTTTGCCAGCTTCGATCCCCAAAGCAAGCATCAATCAGCATGGAAACCCGAAGTGGTCCCAGGCCTTAACCCGAAGGAAAACATACATTCTTTTTTTGCAGCGAGGCACCCACAAAACTTTTTCAGGAAAGCAATTTGTACACGTATTCGTCTCGGTCAGGGTTGACCCCTTCATCTTCCATTCGTTGTCACTGAGCACTGTTCCAACAAACAGCCAACCCCAACCGATTCTTGGGCCCATAAATTACACACGCACTGTATCGTAGTTTTCATAATGTGCATATCACCGAGTCATCTGAGAAGAACCTGCTTTACACCTCAAACAGGCCTTCAACAGATTTCATAATGCGACCTCACTCTCTCAACGACTTGCAACCCGAAACGGACATCCCAGCACCTGCGCCCGCAGCACTCTCAGCGAGCGCAGTGCAACAACCGCGAAGCGAAAACTCGCCTCCTACAGAGCCCAGCATTCGAGAGCTCTTGCAGCAGCTTAAACAGTGGCGGCAAATTCGACGCCGCGAGACCTGGTCTCAAAACGAGGACTCGGCGACAATGGACGCACCATCTCCGCCGGAAGCTCCAATGTCGAGTCCTCCTAAGAAAAAGGTCCCCGAAATGGAAGCTGGGACGCAGGCAGACACGATGATGTTAGAAGAAAACCGGCTGGTGCGGCACAAGGAGCCGAGATGGGGACCGACGCATCCTCGTGACGACCAATCGAGCCCGAGTCGGAGGTACTTTCAGTTTGAGAATGAAATCGTCCTGCGTGGATTCGAACGCGGAGACTGTAGCACTCACCAGCAGCCGCCCGACGAGGTTCGGTTCCTTTCCACATTGGCGCACGCGCAAGTTGCGGCGCAGGACGCGGCGCAAGAGGCGCCAAACGCGCAATGGGTCGCGCAAGTACCTCAAGGGGCGCGGCAAGACGGAAACAGCGGCGGAAGCGCTGGCGTCATGCTCTTCGGATGCAACATTTCGATTTCGCCGCCCGCAAGCCGCGATTTCCAAAATCCGTGCGGCACGGCGGAACAGACGGGACCCCTCGACAGTCTGGAACAACGGCGCGCTGGCAGAGCAGCATCATATTCCCCCCACGAGACCGCCATTTCGTCAAACCCTGCTTTGGGGCGCAGCGCCTCTGCAAGAATATTGACGCCTGCTGGCGGCATGTCAATCGACCACCGCGCGTATGACGACGCCACGAATGCCTCTCAGCTCCTCACTTCGAACTCCTTCCCCACCGCTCGAATTCGCTCGCAACACAATGCGGCCTACTACACACTAGCCACGGAATCGGCAGCGGCGCAGCCGGGCGCTACACTCGCTTCTGCCAGCGCATCGGCAAACCTTGGATTTGCCGACGGGATGTCTTCGCATCCGTGGGGCGTCGCCGCAGCGAATCGCACATCGGCGGAAACAAACCCTGCGGATCTGGCCTTTGTGCGACGCCTGCTAGAGACACACATACGGGACGACGATGCGACGTTGCGAAGCGCGACAGACCCCTCAAGACCTAATCATACACGCGAGACGTTTCAAGAGGCCGCGTCGCGCTCAGCGACGGAATTCCGCGAAGACTTTACGGGCCGCGGCTGGAGCGGCGGAGCGCTCGACGATGCCGTCCGTCGCGGCGCAGCGGAGAAATCCCCGCCCGCCGAACGGTTCCGCTTGGTCGTGCAAGCGCTCCAGGAGGACCCGCCGCCGTTAAACCCAGAATATAGCGAAGGAGCAGCCAATGCAGCAGCAGGAAGCAGTGGCTCTACGTTCGGCGGATGGCCCTATACCCCTGCCGCGCTTCAAGCCCTGCTTGCTCTGCACGCCGCCAACGCCGCGGCACCGCGCGCTGCGGCTACCGCGCCGCCGGGGGTCTGGGCGTCTGCGGAGGTAGCACTACCACGCCATCCGCACGGTGCAACGAGCATCGCCGCGCAAGGGGGACTGACCCTAAACCCCGCGAGTGCCAGGCTCGACCCGCTGGCGGACGTTCCCCTTGTGGTGGAAAGCGTCCGCAGGATCGCTGCGCGGACGGCTGCAGGGGAAGCAGTGCCGCTGGGGTCCAGTCCCACGCGGCGGAAAGCAGGGAATGAGGGCGGTGTTGCTAGTGCTATGGGGGACGGATCGACAAGTGCGACGGGTGGGGCGCTCTTAGCGTATTTGGCGACGGGGTGAGGAAAGCTGTATCACCGCGGCGACGGTTTCGCTGTACAGTGTGCGACCGTCGGTTCTCGTCAGGACAGGCGCTGGGGGGGCATTCGCGCATGCACGCAATGCAACAGCGCGAGGAGGAGGAGATGGATCGGTGAGTGGCGGATGCGGTTCTGGGGTGGCAGAGAAGGCGGAACGGAGGAGACTACTTTCCGAAACGCTCCAGATTTCTATGACTACAAACGATCCCCATTCCCACTCACACGTAGCTATCGTACATCCCCCCCACGCAAGACGTTAGTGGGTCACGTCTGATTACGGATACTGAACCCTTACAGAGCACAGTGGCAGAGCAAGAAATCATCAGGCACGCGGAGCCCGCTTTGAAATCTATCATGCAAAGAAATGGTCGAAAGGAGGTTAGCGATTCGAGCTAGGGTTTCATCACGGAGCCATGGGCTTTTAGGGTTGCTTACTGGTTCAGTGAGAGGACCTGCATCATTGGGCTGGCCCGCAAAGGTAGTGTGTGTGTCTGCTTTGCACAATCAGAGCTGCGCCATTTCCCAGCCGACTCTTGCGATGGTTATTTCAAAAGTACTGTAGAACTTGGCTATTTTGCTTCCACTATTGTTAGAACAACTCTTGTTTTGATATATCAACATATATACGTTTATTATGAATCTGCTTATGTGCACATTGCATTACAGGACAGATCAACAGTCTTGGATCCCCTGCAAGTGGAAGAGGGGATAGATCACGGCAAAACGAGATGTGAGGAGCTTACCCAACTTATAATCCTCCTCCAACCAATTACCAAACAAATAACTGCGAAAGCAAATGCAGAAGGCCCAAACGTTTTGAATCTTGCAACCCTACACATTGCCTCCCTTTTCCTTCCCCCTCATCCCCCCCCCCCCCCCCCCTCCCCTCCCCCCCTTTCCTCTCTCTATATCCCCTCCCTTACCCATAAGACCACCCCTTGCACATCCCCTCTCCCCTTACCACCCCATGGCCATACTTGTTGGAGCCGTGTGAGCCGATAGCAGCGTCGCCCGAGGCAGAGAAGGCCCAGATGAGGCGGTTGGATCCGAGGTAGGTCACGGGGGCTATTCCTGCTGACCCGCTTCTGGTGAACCTGCCAGTGCATAGGGACAGAAAAGTGTTTTTGAGTGAACACAAAATCAATCCGGTTGGATCGAGGTAGGCCACCAGGGTCACTCCTGCTGACCCGCTCAGTCCTGGTGAACCTGCCACGGCAGAGGAGAGGGCAGGTGCGGTGATGGTTGTGGGGTTGGCCCAGATAACGCGCTAGTGGAATTCGGTTGGGATATGCCATAGCAGCCACTCCTGCTAACCCGCTTCCTGTGAACCTGGGTTTACCAGCCAAAGCAAGGAGAGTCAAGAGGGCAACGAGGGGGACTGGCAGGTGGATGCAGGAGAGGCAGGGAGAGGTAGGGAGAGGTAGGAAGAGGTAGGGAGAGGTAGGGAGAGGTAGGGAGAGGTAGGGAGAGGTAGGGAGAACTGGGATGATGCAACGGCAATTCCTGCTGATCCTTCAGATGCAGACCTGATGAAGCTGAGAGGAGCCGGGGAAGAATTGGGGTAGCTTCAGCTGACCCAATTTCTTGCGCGCGCGCGCGCGCGCGCGCGCGCGCGTGTGTGTGTGTGTGTGTGTGTGTGTGTGTGTGTGTGCGTGTGCGTGTGTGTGTGTGTGTGTGTGTGTGAGAGAGAGAGCCGGATACGACGGAGGCTGGTGGAGGGCAGGGGTTGCTAGAGAGATGAGGAGCAATGAGCGGGGCCAGCCTTGTGAAGGGCCAGCCTTGTGACGGGGCATGGAACCCACTCTCGTTCAACTGTCAGCCAGCAGTAGCTGTTCACTCCACAGAGCGTCTCGGTGAGTCTCCAAATAACGTCAGATGTATGAAGTGGCCCAAATGGCTCGATCAAATGGCTCGACCGAATGGTGTGACGGAATGGCTTTACAGTATGGCTTTACGGCCCATCAATGCTGTGTGTACATCCCATAAGGACGAGACATGGGACCTGCCTGCCTGCCAGCTGCCTGCCACGTTGCTGCATAGTCAATGCTCCTACCCATACTGCCTCCAACACCTCAACGCACTTACTTGAGAAGCACGCCGTTGAAGCCTCCAGTGATGGCAAAGCGAGAGGTGGGATCGACGGAGCTGTAGCTGGCAATGGCGTATGTCTCGCCTTCAACCCCCCAGTCACCCCCTGGCACCCCGATCCCCCCCAATGAAGCACTTGAGCAGCGCACCGTTGAAGCCCGAGTTCACCGATCCTCCAGCAATGCCAAAGCGAGAAGTGGGATCCACGGAGCTGTAGCTCGTACTGGCGTACGTCTTAAGGCACCCCCAGGCGTGCCAATGACCGCATCAGCAGGGACCATGGCGCCGCCTTGGACCATGCCATTGCTGCTGAAACCATTACAACACTTACTTGAGCAGCACGCCATTGAAGCCCGAGTTCACGGACCCTCCCGTGATGCTAAACCGAGAGGTGGGGTCCACGGAGCTGTAGCTCGTAATGGCGTAAGTCCTGGCGGCACCCCCAGGGGCCCCTACGACCGCATCAGCAGGGACCATGGCGCCGCCCCTTGACCATGCCACTGACACCCACCCCCCCGCTGCTGCTGCCGTGCCCGACTTGGCCTGCAGGCAGAAGGCGGCACTCGTTGTGGTGAGGAGCTTCCAGTGCAGCATGAGCCTGAGGGGAACAGGAGGGGGTGAGGAGGGGAGGAGAGGAGAGGAAGAGAGGAGGAGAGGAGGCGAAAGGGTGGAGCTTCAATCTGCCTGGCTTGGCCTGCCGGCAGAAGGCGGCGCTTGTTGTGGTGAGGAGCTTCCAGTGTAGCATGAGCCGGGGGGACAGGGCAGGTGGGTGGGGGATGAGAGGAAGAGTAGGGGAGGATGAGAGAGGTTGGAGCTTTCAAGATGCTGCTGCTGCCGTGCCTGGCTTGGCCTGCAGGCAGAAGGCAGCGCTCGTTGTGGTGAGGAGCTTCCAATGCAGCAGGAGCCTGGGGGGGAGTCGGGGACAGGGCGGTTGGGCGGGGGCGGTTGGGAGGATGGGAGGATGGGAGATGAAGGTGGGTAGGCTTGGCTTTGCAGGGTGTACGACCCGGCGTGTCATGGCTTGCAGGTGACTCCCATGCGAGCCACATGATGGACGGGAGGCTCAGGGCATGGATGATGCAGGCTGGATTTTCCAGTGAGAGCTCAGGGAGCAAGCAGGGAGAGAGTACGGGAAAACAGGTGCTTAAATGGGTTGCGATTAAGAAAAAGAGACACGAAGTGGTAGGAGGAAGGGAGAACGAGGGAAGAAGAAGGGAGGAAGGAAGAAGGCTGAGATGGCTCAACAATGCACCAGTCTCTCTCCAAGGTGAATGTCCGCAATGTCAACTATGCATTGCCCCTTGTCCCTTCCCCTTGCCCTTTGTCTCTTTGAACCTTGCCCAGGGTAACTCATTTCTTTCCAAAACAACTCAACCCTTTCCAGGATAACTCGCCCTTTACCCAGTGTAACTCACCCCTTGCCCAGGGTAACTCACCCCTTGCCCAGGGTAACTCACCCCTTGCCCAGGGTAACTCACCCCTTGCCCAGGGTAAATCACCCCTTGCCCAGGGTAACTCACCCCTTGCCCAAGGTAACTCACCCCCTGCCCAAGGTAACGCACCCCTTGCCCAAGGTAACTCACCCCTTGCCCAAGGTAACTCACCCCTTGCCCAAGGTAACTCACCCCTTGCCCAAGGTAACTCACCCCTTGCCCAGGGTAACCACGGAGGTGTAGCCGGGGAGGCTGGAAGCCGAGCAAGACGACTTGCGGGAGCCGAGGCAGTTAGAGGAGGGTGGGGGCGAGGGAGTGCGGGTGGGTGGAGGAGGGGAGGGGTCGTAGGAGGTATCGCCATCACCACCACCATTGCTAGCATCGTTATTAGCGGTGCAGGAGAAATCAACGACTGAGATGCCCCTGAGGGTAGCAGAGAGTGGGGCGAGGGGTGAGGGGCGAGGGCAAAGGGAAACACTTTTGAGCCTTCGTGACTATGGAAGATTGCCAAGGAGAGAGGTGCTGTGGTGCGATGCCATCGCCACCGTTTAATATGAGTGGTTTCGGAGGAGAAGTGGATGCACCCACTCCCACAGCGCCCTTTGCTTCAGTGCCCATCGTGCCCTGAGAGCAGATGGGCAGCGATTGAGAAGTGGATGGCCCACATGCCCCGGTGCAGCAGTGGATGCACCCACTCCCACTCTCCCTCCACTGGGCCGCCTCACCAACTCACACAGCTGGGGTGGCAACAGGGAGAGGTGCAAGATTGGCAGTGAAGCAAAGGGCGACGCCGTGTGAGGCGAGGGAAGTGAGAATGACCTGCAGAAGGGCGGCAGAGGGGATCCAAGATGGGCAGTGAAGCAAAGAAAGGTGGCATTCAGGAGAGGGAGGCGAGGGCGAGCGGTACAAGGGCGGCAAGGTGGAGAGCTGCAAGATGGGCATTCATGTGAGGGAGGTGAGGCAAGGCTGCTGACCGGTAGAAGGGCGGCAGGGCGGGGTTGGCAGAGGAGTCGGTGGTGAAGGCCCACAGCAGCCGGTTCCTGCCATAGTAGCTCACTGGCACTGCCCCGTCCGCCCTCTGCCGTGAGAACCTGGATTGTGGGGAGTGGAGAGGGTAGGGGGTGAGTGGAGAGAGGAGTGAATTGAGTAAGAAAGGAGTGGATTGAGTGAAATGAGGGGATTTGGCAGTGGTGCTGGTGGTTAAGGTTCACAACAAGCGGTTTTTGCCGTATTAGCTCACCGGCACTGCCCCATCGGCTCTCTGGCATGAGGACCTGGCTAGGGGGAGGGGGGATGAGGGGAGCGGGACATTGGACGAGGGTGGGAGAGGGAAGGGGAGTGGAAGAGAGAGGACGAGAAGGGAGAAGGCGGGCCACTGTGGGCTGGCTGATGGAGAAACCTGGTAACCTGGTAATCAGTAACCAAACCAGCCAGTACCCCCACACGCTCACTTCATAACAGCGCCACTGAAGGTGGTGTGGAATGCTGTCCGCCCGAGGGCGAATGGTGATAGGCACCTGGTAACCTGGTAACCCCATCTCCTGGTAACCCCACCACCTGGTAACCTCATCACCTGGTAACCCGACACTCACTTCATGACAGCGCCAGTGAAGGTCGTGCGGAAGGCTGTCCGCCCCAGGGTAAATAGGCGAGACACCTGGTAACCTGGCAATAACACCACCTGGTAACCCCACCACCCAGTACCCCCACCGCTCACTTCATAACAGCGCCATTGAAAGTCGTGCGGAAGGCTGTTTGACCCAGGGTAAATGGGCGAGACACCTGGTAACCTGGTAACCTTAACACTTGCTGCTGCAGAAGGCCGTTCGCCCCGGGGTGAACGGACGAGACACCTGTAACCTGGTAACCCCACCGCTCACTTCATGACGGCGCCATTGAACGTCGTGCCGAACGCCGTCCGCCCCAGGGTGAACGACGCCGGCTGCGCGCCTGCCGCCCCGGGCCCGCTGATGGTGAATGCTGCCACGGTACGCCGGCCGAAGAGGTTTCCGAAGATGGCGTCGCTGGGGAATGGCTGCCCCTTGCGCGCCCACGCCAGCATGAGCCACCCGCCGCCGCCCGCCCCCGTGCTGCTCCGCTCCTCCACTGCGAGCTTGAGGGCGTTGCGTGAAGTGATGGTCCAATGGAGCATGTAGCTGTGAATGGGGGAAATGGAGAGTGGGGGATAAGGGCTTCCGGAATGAGGGGATGAGGGGACGAGGGAAACATGAAAGATCCTCCTCCAATGCGAGCTTGAGGGCGTCGCGTGACGTGGCGGTCCAGTGGAGCTTAGCAGCTGTGGGGTGTGGGAAAGGCGCAGAGACGCGGAGTGGGGGAATAGTGAGCACGACGAGACGAGGGGGTGCAGTGCAGCATGAAGCAGCGGGACGGGGCGACGGGGAGGATACGCAGGTTGCATAAAGTATAGTGCAGAAGCGGAGGCCTAGGGATGCATGTGGATTGGCTTCGGGTAAGAGCTCCTCTCAGAAGACATGCAACACGCGTTGCGACCGGAGACATGAGAAGTGCCTAAGGCAACATGCGTTTCGCGACATGCGACGTGCGTTTCGCGACGTGCGACATGCGACACGCGTTTTGCTACTGGCGACAGGCGTTTTTCGACGGGCTTTTGCATGCGATGCAGGCTCCAAGTAATACTTGCACCCTCGACCCCGATTCACATACCGAAACGCGCAAGGCGGAAGAGGAAATCGAGGCGAAGGGGAGACGGAACGACGACCTCCCCGCCTCCCCTCCCTACGACCTGTACTCGTTACAGTCCGTACCCGTTACCCGACAGGTCGACCATGTTGGAGTAGCCCGCCATCGTCGACGTCTGGCACGCGGGCGTCCGCCGCAACACTCGCCGCGACTCAGAATTCCCCCGCCCCGCCCCAGAGGGGCTCCAGCCATCATCCCACGGCGATAGACTCTCGATAAACAGCGCGTCCCACGGCGGCCGGGCTTCAGCCGGCGAGTGTACGTCAGATGTGGCGGATCCTAAGGCAATGACGGAAGCAGCAACCATCGCAGCAAGCAGGTACAGGGCTGCGCTGACGAGGAAAGAGTGCGTTGCTGACATGGCGAACGCGAGGCGCCGGCGGGGACGACTAAGGGAGAAACGTCGGCGACGCGGGGCGAAGGAAACAGCGTAGCTAGCTAAATGCGCCGTCGCCATCACTCGTTGCGAGGAAGAAAGTCGAGGAGCAAGGCGGCAACGTCGTAACGTTAGCACGATTCTACAGGATCGGATTGCCTCCCTGTAGTGCTACTCTGTGACACTGGTGGTCCCGGAAAGTATTGTAAGTCAACGCTCTGCTAAGTCCGCCGAAGCGAGACAAATCCTATTTGGTAGTATGACAGGTCTGCGCCGTGGGGAGTGGCGGGTGGTAAAATACTGGTTCAAGGCGCAGGAGCGAAGTGATATCGGCAAAGCACAAAGCGGCGGGTCATTTAAGCAAGCAAAGCAGTGCTTATCGTAGAACCTGCCTGGTTGCTGGCTTGCGCACAGGAGCCGAGGTGGACGGCCACAAGGAGGTGAGCTGGGAAGAGGAGATCACGTGTGCTTCGCTCGTTCGCTGCTGGGATGAGGTAGACTTCTGCCACGCTCCGCCGTTTTGAACCGTTCCTCAGTGTTCTGTCATTGTTTCTGGGGGCTGTGGGTGTGAATGATGGTGGTGCATGAAGGTGCTTGGAGAAGGAATGGGAAGTCGAGTCGCCAATTTCCGCAACCAGGCACATTGTCGCACCGTGAAGGCAGAGAAGCCGAAGCGCTCCCCGATGGCATCCTCTTTAAAGCCCAAGACCTGAATTACTCAACGGAAGTCAACGGAAAAAATTAGGTTCGGAAGGGAGGGACACGGAGGTTCGGTTGGGGTGCGAAGCACTTTCGCTCGCGAAACCAATTTGCGACAAAAGTTTCTCGCGCACAAGAATATGAGTGATGGGTGGTCCTTCCCACAACGACCAGAAAAGGGCGTCCATCCCAAACTGTGCACAGTTTGAGATAGCACGCAGATAACTAGGCATAGAGCATACCTGTAGACATAGCGGGGAATCAGAGGCGCCTTACGAATGAGTGTGGCGCGGATTTCGATGACGCGCAAAGATAGTGTCCGCTGGTGTCGAAATGCAGGTTTGAGTGCAACTGATGCGTAAACTCGCGGCGAATATCGTAGCGTGACCCTTCGCCCAAGCGTGAACCTCTCCTCGCCCTCGCTCCTTTCCCTAGGTCCCACGCTTCCAATCTCTTTCGCCATCGCTTCCCCAGCTCGTCGCCTTCGCGACCTCAGCCCGTCGCCTTCGCCCCGCCCGTCGCCTTCGCTTTCCACGCCCTGTCGCCTTCACTTCCCCTCCCCCGTCGCCTTCACTTCCCCTCCCCCGTCGCCTCACTTTCCCCCCCGTCGTCACCTTCACTTCCTCTCCGCCGTCGCCTTCACTTCTCCCCCACCCGTCGCGCTCATTTTCCCCCTCCCGTCGCCTTCCCCCGCCCGTCGCACTCGCTTTCCCCGCCCGTCACACTCGCTTCCCCGCCCGTCGCACTCGCTTCCCCGCCCGTCGCACTCGCTTCCCCCGCCCGTCGCACTCGCTTCCCCCGCCCGTCGCACTCGCTTCCCCCGCCCGTCGCTCTCGCCTCCCCCGCCCGTCGCACTCGCTTCCCCCGCCCGTCGCTCTCGCTTCCCCCGCCCGCCGCACTCGCTTCCCCTCCCGTCGTCACCTTCTCTTCCCCGCCAGTCGCACTCGCTTCCCGCCTGTCGCCTTCACTACCCCTCCCATTGCCGTTCACTCTCTCCTGCTCACGCTCTCCCCCCCGCTCACTCTCTTCCCCACCCTCACTCTCTTCTCTCCTGTACACTCCCTTTCCCCCTGTTCTCACCCCTCTCTTTCCCCCTTCACTCAACCCTTTCCCCCTGCTCACTCTCCTCCCCCCTGCTCACTCCCTTCCCCCCTGCTCACTGCTCACTCTCTTCCCCCCCCCCCCCCCCCCCCCTTACTCTCTTCTCCCGTGTGCACTCTCTTTCCCCCTGCTCACTCTTTCCCCCCCTGCTCACTCTCTCCCCCCCTGCTCACTCTCTGTCCCCCTGCTCACTCTCTTCCCCCCTGCTCACTCTCTTCCCCCCTGCTCACTGCTCACTCTCTCCCCCCCATACTCTCTTCTCCCCCGTGCACTCTCTTCTCCCCCCTTCGCTCTCTTCTCTCCTGTTCACTCCCATTCCCCCTGCTCACTCCCCCTGTCCTCACCCCACTTTCCCTCTTTCTCACCCATTTTCCCCCTTCTCGCTCTCTTTCCCCCTTTGCTCGCCACCTTTTTCCCGGCTCACTCCATTACTCCCACGCTCTCTCTCTCCCCCTCTGCTCACTCTATTTCCCCCTGCTTACTCTCTCCCCCCTTGCTCACTCTCTTTCCCCTCTGCTCACTCTCTTTCCCCCTGCTCACTCTCTCCCCCTCTGCTCTCTCTCTTTCCCCCTGCTCACTCTCTCCCCCTCTGCTCACTCTCTTTCTCCCTGCTCACTCTCTTTCCCCTCTGCTCACTCTCCCCCCCTCTGCTCTCTCTCTTTCCCCCTGCTCACTCTCCCCCCGTCTGCTCTCTCTCTTTCCCCCTGCTCACTCTCTCCCCCTCTGCTCTCTCTCTTTCCCCCTGCTCACTCTCTCCCCCTCTGCTCGCTCTCTTTCCGCCTGCTCACTCTCTCCCCCTCTGCTCTCTCTCTTCCCCCCTGCTCACTCTCTCCCCCTCTGCTCGCTCTCTTTCCGCCTGCTCACTCTCTCCCCCTCTGCTCTCTCTCTTTCCCCCTGGACTCACTTATCTTTCCCCCCTGTTTACTCTATATTCCCCTTCGTTCAACCCTTTTTCCCCACAATCCCTCCCCCTGCTCACTCTATTTCCCCCTTTGCTCACCCCCTTCTCCTCCCTGCTCACTCTATTTTCCCCTTTGCTCATCCCCTTCTCCTCCCTGCTCACTCTATTTCCCCCTTTGCTCACCCCCTTCTCCTCCCTGCTCACTCTATTTCCCCCTTTTCTCACCCCCTTCTCCCTGCTCACTCTATTTTCCCCTTTGCTCACCCCCTTCTCCTCCCTGCTCACTCTATTTCCCCCTTTTCTCACCCCCTTCTCCCCCCTACTGACTCTCTTTCCCCTTCGCTCACCCTTCTGCCCTGTCCCCACTCCTCCCATACATGCCCTTTGTACCTCCCACCTCCACCCCTCGCTCATTCGCCGTACCCCCTCTTCCCTCCCCATTCTATCACAGAACCATGCTTGTACAGGTGCCCGGCACCATGGGTCCCAACAGGAGTGGGATGGAAAGTTACCACCCCCTAGGTTTGTGCATTGTGCCTCTATAATCCACTGTTGACAACTTTTATAAAAATATAACTTGCTTTGTTGCATTTCTTTGTCGTGGTCATGTGCATGGCTGCTCCAAAGCCCAGAGTGTTGTATGATTGTATCATGAAAAGCATCCACCATCATGGCATGGCATGGCATCGCTATTTCTACCACTATCACCCAACAGCAAAGACATCACAACTTCATGCATGACAGACCTGCACAAACACGAACCACAAAATCTTCTGTGCCAAAAGTTGAAGCAGCGGGGAAGGATACAAAGCAATGCCAATGGAAGGGCAGGCAGGGAACAAGAAACAAGCCCCTAGAATAAACAAACAAGGTAGGAGTGTACAGGCGTGGCAGGGTAGAAGGGTGCGGAGGAATGGTTGACGAGAGGAAGTGTGGAGGCTGAGAGGAAGGGAGGATGGCAGCGAGGGATGCAGGGAAAATAAGCATGCGCCGAGGGAGAAAATGAGCAAGGGAGACAAGGAGGAAGGGCGGAAGAGAGAAAGGGAGGGGGGAAGGAAGAAAGGGAGGATGGGAGGATGAGAGAACGGGAGGATGAGATGAAGGGAGGATGAGAGGAAGGGAGGATGAGCGCAAGGGCTGGAGGGTGGAAGGGTGGAAGGGGAGAAGGGGGGATGAGAGGATGTGAGGAATTCAAGTAGGGATAGGACAAGTGGGTGAGACGGAAAGGCGGACTATAGGAAGCTCGGAAGGTGGCAGTTTGAAAAGAAGGTCGGCATGGTGGAAGTGGTAGGGAGGAGGGAGACTGGGAGGAGGGGCGGACGGGAGAAGTGGAGGGAAAGAGAGAGAAAGTCGATTTTTGAGTCGACTCAAAAATTGAAAGAAAGAGTGGGTGAGAGAGTGGTAGGGAGGAGGGAGACTGGGAGGAGGGGCGGACGGGAGAAGTGGAGGGAAAGAGAGAGAAAGAGAGGAGGGAGGAATGGAGAGTGGAAGGGCGGACAGGAGAAGGCGAATTAGCGGACGAGAGAGGAAGTCGGGACGGCTTCCTGCCCCCGCCACCCCCACTCCCCTGCCCCGCCTCCCCCACTCCCCTGCCCCGCCTCCCCCACTCCCCTGCCCCGCCTCCCCCACTCCCCTGCCCCGCCTCCCCCACTCCCCTGCCCCGCCTCCCCCACTCCCCTGCCCCGCCTCCCCCACTCCCCTGCCCCGCCTCCCCCACTCCCCTGCCCCGCCTCCCCCACTCCCCTGCCACGCCTCCCCCACTCCCCTGCCACGCCTCCCCCACTCCCCTGCCACGCCTCCCCCACTCCCCTGCCCCGCCTCCCCCACTCCCCTGCCCCGCCTCCCCCACTCCCCTGCCCCGCCTCCCCCACTCCCCTGCCCCGCCTCCCCCACTCCCCTGCCCCGCCTCCCCCACTCCCCTGCCACGCCTCCCCCACTCCCCTGCCACGCCTCCCCCACTCCCCTGCCACGCCTCCCCCACTCCCCTGCCACGCCTCCCCCACTCCCCTGCCACGCCTCCCCCACTCCCCTGCCCCGCCCCCCTTTCCCTTTGTGCACAGCGCTCCTCACTTCCCGCCTGCACGCGCTGCCCCGGCTGTGCGCCCAGCATTCTCCTCCAATGCTGCAGCAGCACCTGCCATGCGAGCGGGGTTGGTGAAAGAGAGAGGAGGAGGCTGGTTCAAGCTTGCTGTGCTGCCATAGGGTTGTGTGGGGCACAGCGTGAGGGGCAGGACGTGTGCACCGCGGAGCATGCTCCTCGCCTCGCACACCCAGGCAGTGGGGAAGGGAGAGTCAGAGAGAAGGAAAGAAGGGTGCAAGGGTGGGGGGAAGCGTGGGTGACTGTGGGAGGGAGTGTAAGGGAGAGTGGGAGGAAGCGAGGGCGACGGTGGGAGGAAGCGTAGGCGATGAGAAAGGAAGAGTGGGGGAAGGTGGGGGAAAGCGTGAGCGACGGTGGGGGGGAGCGTAAGCGACGGTGGGCAGAAGCGTGGGCGACGGTGGGGGGAAGCGTGGGCGACGGTGCGGGGAAGCGTGGGCGACGGTGGGGGGAAGCGTGGGCAACGGCGGGGTGAAGTGTGAGTGACAGTGGGAGGAAGCGTGGGCGACGGTGGAGGAAGCGTGGGCGACGTGTTGGTGCAACCCTACGGTTTGCACTCGGCTTGTTGTCCGTGTGCGTGAATGTGTGTGTGTATGGAATGGTATGAGGGCATGGGATAATATATATTTCATGCTTATAATTGTGTGTGAATGTTGAGTCATGATGTCGAGTGTGTGTGTCGAGTCAATAGCGAGTTATCGCTAGACGCGTGTTACGCGGTCGTTTGTGTCTCGCGCGCGGTTTCTATTTTGTCGTGCGCGGTTTCTATTTTGTCCTGTGTCGAACGTTCGGCGTGTCGCAGGTGTGTGCAGCAGACCCATCAAGAACTCAAGGATGAGTTTGTGATGAAGAGCCCGAGCCTTGGTGTCAAGCCTCAAGTGATTTCGAAGCTTGCCAAAAAGGGTACACCTCAAGATATTGAAGATATTTACATTACTTTGTGTAGTGTAACATTTCACTTGGTGTAGGCCCTAGTGAAGGGTAGTTTCGAGACCCTTCGTGGTTGGGGACAGTGTGGCACTGTTCCACATCACTGTACCTCGGCTCTTGGGGTTTGTAGGAGCTGGGAGTCATTCCCAACTCGTAACTCTTCCTATCTTGTGTTCTAAGACTATAGTGGCTGCCATAGTACCGTTCGTTCAAACCGACGCTGTGTCGTCAATTCTTTATCAAATCGTGCAATCTAAATTGATAATTGTAGACGACGTGAAGACGCTCCAGATCCAATTTGAATCAGGTCATTTTCAGCTGTGAGCAGAACGCTATCAACGTTTGAAGCCGCTGTGCAGAAATCCGTCTGTGCTCTCTAACTTTCGTTTTAGGCACATTCAAGCCTATTGTGCCTATAACAAGTGGTATCAGAGCCCCTTGGAGCAGTTTCGACAATGTCTGGACCTGAGGAAAGGGGTGGCAGAGGTGCTGGTGGCAGTGGAGAAGCTCAAGCTCAAGGCCAACCCCGTGATTCAGCCATGGCGCCCATGCAACCAAGTCTTGGCCCACCTAGGGATGAGCCTAGGGTGTTTGGGCTTGACAAGTTCAACGGTGACAACTTTGCTGAATGGTCCTTCAAGATGGAGAACATCTTTGACCACTATGACCTGCTGGAGGTGATGGAAGGAACGGAGAAGCGCCCCGAGAACGACCCGGAGAAGAGCCCGTGGGTGCGGAAGAGCGCACAAGGCTATCTCTTACTTGGGCAAGCGTTGGGGAGCAGTCAGATCCGTCACATCAAGCCATTCCAGCGTGAACCAGAGAAAGGACCAAAGGCATGGGCTGCTCTCAAGGGTGTACATGCTCCTGCAACAGCGGCGGTAGCGGTGGTGTTGGAACGGCAAATGGCGGCACTACGAATTGAAGAAGACGAAGCGGTTGAAGAAGGGGTGCAGAAATTCTTCGACTTGTTGACGCGGCTTGAGGGAGCTGATTTGAACTACAGTGAGCTCCAAAAGAAGACCAAGTTGCTGGCCTTACTCCCAGAGTCATGGTCCTCGCTCATCATCAACCTTAATCGCGACTTGCCCCGCCTCTCGCTTGAAGACGTGAAGCGAGCTATCCTTCAAGAGGATTTCCGCCGCCGTGAGTTGGCGAGTGCGGATGGCGCTGGGGCAGCGAGCATCGGCCGTGGATATGGTCGAGGAAGAGGCAGAGGACGAGGGGGAGGAAGGTTTGGTGGCAGCAACTTCGGCGGAGGCCGCAGGAGTGGCGGTTACGGCAGCGACGACAAGAGCTACGGACGCGGTCGCGGCCGATTCGACGGCGAGTGTCACTATTGCCACAAGAGCGGACACATGTGGCGCGACTGCTACAAACTCCCTGATGGTTGGACCCCTGCTCAAGGCCAAGAGGGTAGAGGAGCAGGAGGAGGGAGAGGACGAGGCCGTGGAGGCCGTGGCGGTCGCGGTGGCGGAGCTGCAAACATGAAGAGCGGAGACAACGACAAGGACCCGAGCGACGATCGATACCCGGGTCTATTCTACTTCGTGTCGACGCAAGTACCGGCTGGTCCAGAGAAGGATGAAGGCTTTGAGGAGCCAGCAGCTGTGGGGAAGGTGACCCTACACCCCCTGGACTATTGGGTGATTGATAGTGGCGCTACCTATAGCATGACACCTCGCCCGGACTTGCTCACCGAACTCGAGCCGTCACCGGTGAAGCATGTCACATCGGCTTTGGGGCAGCGAGCAGAGGTGAAAGGCATGGGCAAGGCCATGTTCAAGGGTGCTGATGGGAAGATGGTGGGCCTCAAGAACGTGCTTTGGGTGCCCAGCCTTGCTGCAAACCTGATTTCCGTGCGGCGGTTGGCAAAGGCCGGCATGGACACGAACTCGAAGGGAGCCAAGACCTACACCGCAAGGCTTGGCGATCGAATTCTTTGGGACCTTCATGAGGACAGGGATGTCTACAACGAGATGTGGCAGATCCCAGTGGTCCCTATGCCTAAGGAGAGGCAAGTGGCAGCAAGCATCAGCACCAAGGATGGAGCGGTCGGTAGCGACGATGGCGCGAACGGTCGCGCTAAGGAGAATGAGCTCAAGAAGAGCAAACCTGGAGGGACCAGCAAGTTCAGTGAACCTAAGGAGAGTGGTGCAGCAACCAAGGAGCAGCAAAAGGGTGAGGAGAACCCAGAGGCAGCAGCGGAGGAGGACTACGGAGAGAGTATGTGGGGCGCTATTGCGAGCGCGGCATTCTCCAATCCAACTTCGGCTACGGGGGAGTGTGATTGGCTCACCTTGCATCGGCGCATGGGGCATGTGGCCCTGCCCATCTTGCAGCAGCTAGTGAAGAATGAGATGGTTGCTGGCATACGTGTGAAGGGGGAGCCCGATGAGGTGCTTGGCTGCCCGACGTGCATTCAAGCCAAGTTCACCCGGTTTCCGTTCCCTAGTTCGGAGGCAACGGCAAAGGCACCGCTTGATGAGGTGGTGATGGACGTGGTGGGCCCCCTGAAGCTTGGAGCTGCTGGAGCTGAGTATTTTCTCACCATTGTCGACGTCTACACCCGCATGACTTGGGTGTACGTGCTGGCCAAGAAGAGCGACGTGGCTGAAACGTTGAAGACGGATTGGTTCCCGATGGTGGAGCGGCAACAAGACCGTCTAGTCAAGTCAATCCGCACCGATCGAGGGGGAGAGTTCCTGAGCAAGGAGTTTGGGTTGTGGCTGAAGAAGAATGGTATTCGGCACTCCCTCACCATGCCATACTCCCCTGCAATGAACGGCATCGCCGAGCGAGCGAACCGCACAATCACGGAGGCGGCACGCGGGTTGCTCATTGAAGCCGGGCTACCCGACTATTTCTGGCCTGATGCGGTGCGGAGCGCGTGTGTGGCCAAGAACAGAGCCTTGACTCATGTGGGAGCAGACAAATGGGTGCCCTATGTGGAGTGGCTAGGAAGGAAGCCAAAGGTGGATATGCTTCGGGTGTTCGGGTGCATGTGCATGGCGCTCGTGCCTAAGCATCTTCGGCACAACAAGCTTGGTGCCAAGGCGGTGTGGGCCGTGCACTTGGGCATGGCTCAAAACAGCAAGGGATGGCTTCTTTGGGACCCATTCACCAAGAAGTTCTTGGTGAGCAGGGACTGCAAGTTCATGGAGAACTTCATGTACAAGGATTGGAAGGCGGAGAATGAGGCGAAGATAGGCGTGCGGTTTGGGGAGGTGAAGAGTTCCGGTTTGGAGCATGTGGAGCTGCCTTTGGAGCTGAGCAGCGGCAGCACAACCACAAGGCAATCCTCCCTTGTGAATGGGGGAGAGGAGGCCAATGATGCAGAGGAAGAAGAGGAGGAGGTGCAGCAAGTGAGCGAGCGTGCACCGTCACTCCCTTCCCGTACTACGAGTGCTCCACGGATTCGAGCCACACCGCAGCAACGCCAAGGCCTTCAAGTCCCTGCAGCTGAGGAGGAAGGAAGGGGGAAGAGGAGAGTTCAACCCCCTAATAGGCTGACCTATGATGCGCCGGGAAAGCAGGGCAAGACAGCCCTGGCCGGAGCGGCAATGATGGCCGGAGACGACGAGGAGAGTGACTACGAGGAGTGTGCCTTCGCGTTCTTCTCTCCGGTGGAGATGCCGGGAGAACCAGCAACTCTCAAGGAGGCTTTGGAGAGTAGTGATGCTGAGGAGTGGAAGAAGGCCATGGAGAGTGAGCTGAAGAGCATCGAGGAGAATGACACGTTTGAATTGGTGGAGCTACCGGAGGGGCGTACGGCGATAACGTCCAAGTGGCTCTTCAAAATCAAGTCGGATGCCGACGGCAAGATCGAGCGCTACAAGTCTAGGCTTGTAGCCAAGGGGTACCAGCAGAAGGAGAAGGTGGACTTCAAGGAGCTGTTTGCCCCTGTGGTGAAGCCGACGACGCTGCGAACCCTATTCGCGGGAGCCGCCATCAAAGGATGGGTAGTAAAGCAAATGGACATCGTAACGGCATTCCTTAACGGCATCCTTGAGGAGGAGATTTTTATGGCGCAGCCAGAGGGGTTTGATGATGGTAGTGGCAGAGTGTGGAAGCTGAAGAAGGCC